CGTTCAACTTCGTGCCTCTCTCTCTCCCTCTCTCTCCCTCTCACTCTCTCTCTCTCTCTCTCTCTCTCTTTCTCCCTCTCACTCAGCCTCCACTCTACCTTTCCTCCTCCTTCACCTTACCCTCTCCCCCCCCTCTTCCGGCCTCCGCTCCCCATCTCGCTCGGTCTCCTCTTTCCCACTCTCCCGACCTCCTCTCCCCTTCCCCACTCCCTCCTAACCTCATCTCCTCTCTCCCTCCAAGTCTTCTCTCCCCTTCCCCTCATTCCCGACCTCCTCTCCCCTTCCCCTTCTCCCGACCTCCTCTCCCCTTCCCCTCCCTCCATGCCTCATCGCCCCTCTCCCTCCCTTTATGCCTCCTGTCCCCCTCCTTCCCGATCGCGACATCCTCTCCCCTTCCCCTCTCTCCATACCTCATCGCCCTTCCCCCCTCTCTCCCGGTCTCCTCTTCTTCTACTCCTCCCTCCCAGCCACCCATCACCCTCTCACTCCTCCCTCTCATGCACGCGTACACCACCCCTCTCTCCCACGTTCACAGGCAAGCGTACTGCGATATCTTCTGGCACCGTGCCAGCTGCTCACGCGGCATGCCGGTAGCAGATCAACGGCCGCTATCGGGGCATCGTTTACGGAAGCCTTGGCTTAATGCCGACAGCGACAGCCGACCGCACGTGCGCGCAGACACACCCTCGCGCGGCGACCAATCAGCGCGCAGCCTCGCACGCGCGCTTCCCCGCATAGCTATCGTCAGCGTCAGCGTCACCGCCGGTGTATCCGTCATCGTTACGATCATCGTCACGGCTGCGGCGATTAGCAGCGTCATCGTCGCCGTCGCCGTTCTTCCGGTCGTCGTCGTCGTCGTCGTCGTCGTCACCATCCGCGCGTTTCTTCTCTTCTGGCAGAGTGCCAAAAGCACCCGGCTTATTTTTCCGCGCAGTGGGTTGTCTCCTGATGGGGCGAGTGATACCCACCCACGCACGCACGCGCACACCAAAAGCGGGAACACGCACCCACCCACCCACGCACGCACGCGCATGCGCACGACTAACGCACGAGCACGTTCGCGCGCGCACACACTCACACACACACACACACACACACACACACACACACACACACACACACACACACACACACACACACACACGCAGACCCTGACATTTGGAAGCGAGCTCGAAAGAACTGTAAATTCGTCCACGAGATGCCTCCTACTATGCGTCTGTATCGTTCGTCCTGTTGTCATCACGCCTCATCTCTCCCGCCCATCGTCGCTGTCCTCTGTCGTCGCCTACGGCAGACGAACGCAGCTCTCCCCCCTCTCCCTGACGAGCACAGACGCGCGCCTCCGCCAGCCCCAATCAGCGACCCGTCCACACGATCAGCGTGGCGCTTTCAAAGTTAGCTAGCGCCTGTGTCGACGGGAGCAAGTGAAAGCGCGAGTGGGACCGTTAGGCCGTAAGGCCATGAGGGAAGGCGTTCAGGGAAAGCAAGGAAGTGGGACGCATTCGGGAAATTTGCTCTTGCCGTTCGATGGGACTGGAAGCAACAACAGCGAGAGCGAAGTTTAATTAAGAAAAAAAAAAATTAAGATAACAGATGCCAACAAAACTAGGCCAGAGCAGATGAAACCGTACGGCGCCGAGGCATGTGGTGAGGTGAGCGTGCCGTCTAGGCGGCAGGGAGGGAGGGTGCCTTGTCGACGCCGCGGCGAGGGCGAGGCGCTCGTTCAGGGCGAGGTGTCTCTTGGCGAGGGGAGGGGAGCGCTGCTGTGAGTGGCGAAGTGATGGGCGTGAGGCGGAAGGGAGAAGTGCCGCTCGAGGGGGAGGCGCGCCCGTGCAGGCGGTGAGAGTGCCCTGTCTGTCCCCGGACCCGTGAGTGGGGCAGGGTGCGCTTGAGGGAGAGGTATCGTCGTGAGGCGGGAGGGCGCGTGAGCGGGAGCGCGGAGGGCGCGTCGAGCGGATAGAGCGCGCCAGTCCGAGCGAGAGGTGCGTTGCAGGGGCGAGGCGCGTGAAGCAGCGAGCGGTGCCGGAGGAGAGGGTCATTAGGGGAGGGAGATGCGTGTGGAGGGGAAGGACGAGTGTGCAGGGAGCTGGAGGGGGAGGCTGTGAGGGGGAGAGCGCGTTAGCGGAGGGCAAGCGTAGTGCGTGAGCGCGCAGGGGAGGGTGCAGTCGAGCGGGCAGGGGTGCGTCGAGCGGAAAGGTGAGAGGGCTGCTGTCGCCGTGAGCGGAGGGCCGTGAGGGAGACGTGCGGAGGGGAGGCTCTTCGAGGGGCGCAGGGCGGCCTGAGGGACGGGCGCCGTGACGGGAGGGGGCAGGGCGCGTGAGGCGACCAGGGGCGCGTGAGGAGAGGGGTGCGTGCAGGGGAGGGTGCGCTGACGGGCGACGGCGTGCGTGGAACGAGGAGGGCATGCGTGAGGGGGAGGGTGCGTTAGTGGGAGGGAGAGTGTTGAATACCTGTAACTATCGCGACAGGAGACGATATTGTGACGGTAGGTCACGTTTGCCCCGCAGACAACCAGAGGGCGTTGGTGTGACGTCAGCCCCATGGCTATTCTCTCCTGTTAATCCTTATATTCTATAGACTTGTATACAGGATGTATATATCACGGCACGCCGTCGTCCACCCCGCCCCAACTTTCCGCCAGAGGGCGCGAGTAAAATACCGGACAATCCATACCGGACATGTGCATAGACGTACCTGCCGCTGCTAGGTACGCACCTCCCTCTACCTGCAATACATTCGTCACTCACTGATACTTCCCCCGTGTACGCAGTGAATGCGGGCTGGTTAGACCAATGAATTGTGCCCCTGAAATGTGTAGGATCTGGCGTTATTTTAGGGCCCTAAAGCCTTCCAAATGTGGCGAATTGTTGCACGACAGAAATGGTAAACTTATAGTGTTTGTTATCGGAATAGAAATTCCAGGCTTGATTTCAACGCACTGCGACTGGCAAGCGATGTTTTCATTGGTCAACAGACAACAAGCATTACAATTTCTGTTCTGACGAAGTTGTGAGCATTGAGCAAGTTTAATAACATGAGAGGTGACTATTACTGTCTTACTCTATCATTCTATTACTGTATTACTTATTTATGCTATTACTCTATCACTCTAATACTCAGTGGAGTAGACAGGTCCTCAGTTGTGGGTAGGATGGGGGGGGGTGATTTCCCTGTTACTTCCATCCCAAAGTATACTAAGAGTGTATGCGCGTAGCGGACACCGCAAGCGCGTTGGCGCGAAGCGCCTAACGGGTGGGGTCCAGGGGCCCGCCTAGGGGCCCTGGCGGGGTGCAGGGGCAGATCGAGCCCTTGCCCGGGGTCCAGGGGGCGGAGCCCACGGAAGCTCTTGGATTTTAGCAATTTAGAACCTTTAAGATGGCCGTTTTTGAGAGAATTGCCACACACACACACACGCTAAAACTGTACAAAAAAAAGTATGAGAAAAACAACCAGATTTTAACCAAAAAGTGCATATTTTCACCCCTTATACAAAATCGGGAATATACTTCCTGTCGGATCTCAGCACTGCCATCCCCCCAAAAAAGTGTGATGAAATTGAATTTTCTCCATTTAATTCAATCTCTGTGAAAATTCAATATTCCTACTCTCAATAGGTCTACTGTAATTTTGAATAAAGCAGGGATTTAACTTTCATGAGCAGTGATAAGACGTGATTTGGGGATTTTGAAAAAAAACCGTATATGGGGAATGCGTCCAAAATTAACCGTCCGTGTTTCAGTAAAATAACGTCATTCTTGGAACGAGTTCTACAGACATTTTACAGTAAATGTACGTCTCTTTCTATTTGTGTAATAATACATTAGGAGAGTATGAATAGAGATGATGGATTTGTAGATAAATGTTCACTATTTATTGTCTGTAAAATATGAAATATGATAAGTGGGGGGGAGGGGTATACCTTTCTCCCCCCCCCCCGCTATCTACGCCCTTGGCTGGAGTAATGTCGACGCGAATGCTATCTACCTCCCTCCCTCCCCGCTCTCTCTCTCTCTCTCTCGCTCTCTCTCTTGCTCTGTGTGTCTCTCTCTCTCTCGCTCTCTCTGTGTCTCGCTCTGAAGATCTCTCTCCCTCCCTCCCTCCCACTATCTGTCTCTCTCTCGCTTTCTCTGTGTCTCAACCCCTTTCTTTCATATGACGCAGCAGCCACAAGACAGTATGACAAATCCCACATAAAACATCAACATTGTGTTTCAAATCCTTCACGCTTTATTAATATTTGCAGACGCCTCAGCGGCATATTTCCACGCTAATATTTCAACCATTTCACAACAGATAGTATCTATCCATCCATTGCTTCATTGTTATCAAACAATTTAACTGAAAACATTAAAATCAATAAAAACATCGTATACATTACGATGCGAAAATTCTTCAGAAAATATAGCAATGATAGGAAACCGCATACACAGCTGAAAACAATATTCATAAATCACAAGTTATTCGGGTAGAAAATTAACACCATCTTTACGGATAAACACCGACCAGCACCAGGTAACCGGTTACACGATCAATAAATCGCCATCTTCATCTCATTTGTAGGCCATCGTTAGTATCGCCGTGGTTACTGCGTGGAGATCGGCGCTCACGAGGGGGCGCCACCGTCGCCGCCGATGCAAGACACCTCATGTAGGTAGGCTGCCACCAGTTTCATCTGAAACGCGAGAGAGCGACGGAACGAATGAGCTACGTAGACACGCGACAGACGACAGGAGTTTGAAACCGAGGCCTGCATCTCTAACGTTAAAAATTTGTCCCCGCAGAGGGAGCTACGAGTAACTCGTGGCAACCACACGTAGCAACTCTCACGAGCCGCTGCCGTCCCTCCCCTCCCTGCTCATTTACACTCCCCACTTTCCTGCAGAGGGAGCCACTGCACACCCAGCCCCCTGCAGGTGTCTCCACTGTACACCCGGTCCCCTGCAGGTGGCGCTAACGTATACCCCATCCCCTGCAGGTGGCTCCACCGTACACGCGATCCCCCGCAGGTGCCACCACCTTGCACCGCGCTCCCTGCAGGTGTCGCCACCGTACACCCCATCCCCTACAGGTGTCGCCACCGTACACCCTGTCCCCCGGGCAGGTGGCGCCACTCACCCCGTTCACGTAGTTGGAGCGGTTGAGCTTCTCGTTCTGCGAGTGCGCGCCGTCGTCGCACGCTCCCACCGGCAGCAGCATCACGTTCTTTCCCGTCGCCTCCTGCAGGGTCAAGGTCACCGGGATGCTTCCCCCTTCACGCGTCAGGTCCGGATCAACGCCAAACACTGCCGGCAAGCAAGGGTTGCCACGACGATTAACGAACGCTGGTAACGTACTGTACGTAACTTATCGTAACTTACGCTTAATTGAGCGTCGACGACGAACGCTAGAAACAAGTGAACGTCGTCGACGCACTTGAATTGGCGCACCAGACAGAAGCAGAGAGATAAAAACAAGTGAACGGTTATGCATTCAGCGGAAATCAGCACGCGCCAGATGAAAACTTGGAAATTAGAGACGCTAAAAACAAGCGAACAGCGAGGACGAAACGAAACGGCCGACCGACGACGACGAGCCGTCTGTCAGACAGCGCCCCCTACCTTTCTTCACGGCTTTCCTGCCGGCGACAAAGTGAGGGTGGTTGAAGTCTGCAACCCAGGGCTTGCCACCGGAAGCCATGGTGACCCTGCGTGTGGAGGATCCATGAAATATCTCAAGTCTTATACATTCATCGATCACTTATCGATACACTCACACAGTACAACGCGATCCGCCGTGTAGGTAGTAGCTGTAGCAGTAATATGAATATATAATGATGATGATGATGATGATGATGATGATGATGATGATATTACAATATGACATAATAAAACAATACAATACAACAAAATATGATAATAATAATAATATAATTATAATAATTATTTCGACATAACAAACCCTGCCAGCAACCCACTACCCTCACATCGCGACCTTCCAACCCTGACCTTCAAGCCGCAACCTTCCAACCCTGACCTTCAAGCCGCGACCTTCAAACCCTGACATTCACCCCATGACCTCTGCATGACCTCTGTACCTGAGTGTGTTGGCGCTGCCGCTGGCTGCGTGTCGGGCTGTGACGTAGTCAACGACGAGTTTCTCCACGGCATCAGGCAAGAAGCAGAATAATAATAAGAAGAAGAAGAGGAATTAAGAAAATAGAAGAAGACGATGCGTCCCAGGCTGTGCTACACGCATTCATCATTGTCAGCTGCTACTCTTATTAACCAACTACACGGATTTTACATATATATGACATAAGCAAGTGCATATACGAGGTTTCATTTTCGAGAAAGTATTTTCGGGGATGCCGGACTCCCCGCCACGGGTTTCATAACTTCGTTGCCTCGCAGTCCGCCCACTCTCCCATACGGTATACACCTCTCTGATGATTGTGAGTGGTGCATGACTATTATTAACTAGCTACTCGGGCACCGCTCTACCGCTTCCTGCGTCATGTAAGCATACACGCCTCCCCTCACTCGATCTACCTCCCCATCCCCCTCCCCCTCCCGCGCTGTCACGCATGCGCATGCGCCAGCCCCAGCATCGGCCTCCGTCAGAAATGCCAGGATGACGCAGGGAATGCACCGATACGAACACACCTCCCAAAAACCGCCGAATTCCACGAGTCTCCGTTTTTACATGTTTATATTTACACACATTTATACATACACGTATATATATATATATATTCTTGTTAGCAACCTTTCAGCACCGATGCGTGTCGACATTTCCGGAGCAAAAAGAGGAGAAGTAAAAGGTTCGGGGAGGATGAGGAGGAGGGAGAAGAAAGAGGGGAGGATGAGGGGGAGAAAAAGGAGTAGGGAAGTATGAAGGAGATTGAGAAGGAGGAAAAGAGGATGAGGGAGAGGGAGAAAGAGGAGAGAGAGAGAGAGTGAGAGAAAGATAGAGGGAAAGATATATATATATATATATATATAGAGAGAGAGAGAGAGAGAAAGAGAGAGAGTAAGAGAGAGAGAGAGAGAGAGAGAGATAGAGAGAGTAGAGAAAAGACGAGAGATAGAGAGCGCGGAGTAGCAGAGAGAGAGCGAGAGGAAGAGAGGAGAGAGCGAGGAGAGAGATAGGATAGAGACTAGAGAGATAGATAGATAGAGAGTAGAGAGTAGAGCAGAGAGAGCGAGAGAGTAGAGAGAAGAGAGATGTAAGATGTGGTTAGGTAGAGAGAGAGAGAGAGTGAATGATGATAGAGAGAGAATTGCCACATCCGACGGAGAGAGCTGTAAGCGTTAAGGCGACGATCCGTTGCGTACTAGTAACACCGATGCGCTTTCGTACGAGGGCGAAGATTTTCTTGGTGCCCACCGCGCCAAACGTGCCGCCGATGGCGATATCAGCCTAATCACGGTGCACGCTCAAGGTCGCTTAATTTCTCCCCCTTTATCTCTCTCTTTCATTTGTCTCGACTTCTCTCTCTCTCCTCTCTCGACCTCTCCCTCATCCTCTTTTCCTCCTTCTCA